AATTCTATGGACTGTAGTGATAATGGAAACTTTCACTAGATATACTCATAGGTGTCAAATAGAAAGGAGGGATATTTTTCTAAACCTCAAGTTTATTTAGACCACCCCATCTATTAATTTCATACTTTTCAACCCTTTAAATGATTTTCTGGTTGCCTTTTATTACCTCCCTTCTCATTCATTGCATACTGAGAAAAATTACAATGCCCTTCTAAGACACCCTTGTATTAGGCACCTATGAGTACTGCATTTACTCAACTATAGTGCATGTTTTTTATGATCAGTTTTATTAAACAAAAAAAAGGGAGTCACACTCTACACAGATAATTTTTATCTGTAGAGGGTTAACATTCATGCAAAATAATTAAGCAGCCACACTACATGAAGTCAGCTTATACACTAGTATATATGGTATATCATCATGTAATAAGTATCAGTTTTATATGCTTGTAAATCAGCATTAGATATGTAGATGACAGTGTTGATAGTAGACACAAAAGGAAATTACAGGAACTTCTACAGAAGGTAGTAAAGGAAAGCAAGAAAAAAGGACTAAACACCAATTGTAAGAAAAGAGAATATATGGTTGTCAGCAAAAGAAACATGCAAATTACAAATTGGAGATACCAAAATCAAGCAAGTAAAAAAATTTAAATATCTAGGAAATGTTTTAACAAGGGAAAGAAAATGCAACACCAAAATCCCAAGGTACATTGGAATAGTCAAAGATGTTTTCCAAAAACTGAGCAAAGTATTAAGAAAAAGGAAAACGTCATTAGAAACAATGAAAAGAGTACTTAACTGTTATCCAATATCAGTTTTCTTATATGGCAGTGAATGCTAGTCAATCTCCTCACAGATGAAGAAGAGACTTGAGGCAACAGAAATGTGATTATACAGAAGGATACTGAGAATGTGGTCAACAACAAAGGTTTAGGGAAAATGGAAAGAGAAGGGGCACTTTACTTTACATCAGAAAAAGAGACATGAAATTTGAGATTTCTAGAACACATAATGAGGAAAGAGGGCTTAGAAAATTTGATACTCACAGAGAACAGATTGAAGACAAGGGGGACAGAGGAAAGCAGCACATGAGCTAGCTTGAGTAAATGGTTAGCAGAATAGAGATTAGGAGAAACAGCAAAGAGACAAATTTTATTATGAGCTACAAAGAAGAGGAAATTGTGGAGAGCTATGATTGCTAACATCCTGAAGGGACATGTCACATAGAAGAAGAAATAATTTGTTGTAACTCAGTCATGCAGTCACATAGAAACGAATCCAAGTATTCCCAGCCTTATTCAGTTTCTGTTTCTTGCAATTGCTCTTGTTTGTTCTCTCTTTCTCTTTCTCTCTCTCTCTCTCTTTCTCTCTCTCTAACAAATATATCAAATATACAATTATGAAAGAATAATTTTAAAATCAGTGGAATATTCAGATTAACAAAAATAGACAACACATAAAAATGTCATGTTTTGCTTATATATTGCTTATATCACAGAGACATGATTTTGATACAAAACAAACTCATTATAACCACATAAAATATTATGAATATAATTCAAACTAGATCTATAAGATTTATATTTATAAGTCTACCATTCATCCATGCAATGAATATTGCTATCACATTTGGTCTAGTGCATCTGCCGTGTATTTAGAGATTCTTGATAAAATACAAAGAAGAACCTGCAATGTTATTGGTTCTGACATGGCATCTTGGTTTTAGACACTTTCCTACCATCATAAATTATCTTCCCTGCAGTGGTGTGCAGAGGTTTTGCATTGCCTGGAGCCTACTCCTTGATTGCCTGTCCCTAAGACTCAAGTTTGCCTAGTACTGACCAACTCCTTGAATTTTATGCCCCTAAGACTCAAGTAAGAGGCATATAGGGCCTAGTACTGAGAAATATGAGAAAGGAAAACATTTTAAATATGTGAAAACAGATGAAATAAACACTTTATTTCAAATTTCAAAAACTAAATTTTTATTTTTCTCTTTGATTGGATTGTCATCCCAATATGGATGTCCAGGGCGACTGCACCCTCTACCTACCCACTTCTGAACACTACTTCTACCTCATGCCTTTTCTATAAATATTTTCATAGTAATTGTTCCGATGAGCTTTCCTCTTTGGTACCTAGACTTTATGAACTTAAGTATACTGCTTGAATAGCAACAAAGTTTCATCATTTTACACTTGAATTGTCAAAATGCAACCATAAGTTCTATGTTAATAGTTCCTTCTAATGCACTTTTTGTTTGTAGAACTCTTTTCTGGTTTCTTACTTTCTAGTCAATACTTACCTGGCACATGTCATATATTGTCTCTTAGTTGTGCCTCTGTCTTTGAGTAGTGTGACTCAGTTGTGGCTCTGTCTGCAGACAGAGATGAAGCTGAGGAAAACAAATATTGTTCCCAGGGAACAGCTGCCTGAGGCTACAACTCCCCCATTGCACTAAAGAGAAGTATCAGTAGTCATACCAATATCAGTGCAACCAACAGTAGCGGGGACTCAGCAAATTTTTTTATCCTTGGCTGGGTGTACGCATTTGGATTCCCCATGTTAAAACTAACCTTGTGTCATATCCCATCTCAGTAGGGAGACTAGGGTAAATACATACTTTTCAGTCAACTTTGATCTTCAAAAATTTAAATGCATTGTCAATCATTATATTATGTCTTTCTAATTCCTTTGTTCTCTCTCCTAATAATGTTTTCTTTTTCTCATATTCTCTCACACTCAGTAACCCCTTGCATCTTAGAGACTTTGCTTAGGGTGAAATAATTTAAAAGCAAGATCCAACTTAATGTAATAGTATTACTTTCATTAAATATGCTGAACTTAAAATGGATATTTATTTATTGTAGTCATCATTGATGAAATAACTAAAATTTATTCAGTTTCCAAAGACAATAACAGTTGAAGCTAATAACAAATTGATATAAGCTGGACAAGCCAAGATAAAATGATTTCAATATTTTGACAATTGCTGGAACAAGATAAAAGCTGCCAAGACAATTTCTCTAAAACACAAGTATATCTGTGTTTGCTATCATTTAAAACATGCACTAATTTTAATAAGCTTTAATTACGGCTGAATTAGACAGCAATAATGAAGTAAGGAAACAGACAAGACTGCTTGTAATGAATCTTTTATTAACATAAAACAATACAAAACAGTGTATATTGAATTTGTTCATAGTGTGCAATGAAGTTGATAGCCTGTTGGGTAAACAGCATGGAAACATAATCATCTTAACTATTGGCAATTCGACTATAGATAAAAATCAGTAAAAACATATAGAAAGAGTGATTGCCTTGGTAACAGTCAAATCACTACCTGCATATATGGAAAGGGAAAATGTCATCAGGAGCAAGTTTTACTGGAAATCAATTTAATTTGCTTTTTTGAAACAAAAGTTTTAATCTGAAACAAATACAGGAAGAGAACCAAAAAAAAGATGAGACTAACAAATAAATGTTAAAGTTTCTGAGAATTTTAAATGCACCAATGGAATCAATTTTGTTAAGATGATGTATGTGTGATTTTAAAATTATTTGAACAAATTGGGCAGATAGAAAATGGCCAAAATTTAAACGCATCAACTTAAGTGTGCATTTTAGGCAATTTCAAGTCAATAAAGAACTGAAATAACTTGTTCTAGCAGTTTTCAGTTTTTGCAGTCTCTTTCATTATTGATGGTTACTTAGTTCTTATAAGAATTTCATCTCCACATTGCATTTGTTAATAGGAAAACCATTAAGAGAAGTTTTCAAAGATTCATGTTACTGCTTAACTGAGTGATTTACTTGTGGTAAAAGTTTATATACATGACTAATTCCACTAATTCTGAAGGTGTAAAAATACTCTCAAGTATTTTTGAATCACCACCAACACCACACACCACCACCATCATCATCATCATCATCATCATCATCATCATCATTCCATTGACTTTTGTAATCATTGGGGGGAATCTAAATGCAGAAGCCACATTGAATCTCCTCTGCAATGGTTTATCAACAGCAGCCATCAGCAATTGTGGTATAGTTATACTTGTCTATTGTTTAACATTGTCCAACCAGTTTTTATGTTGTCATCCCCTCCTGTGGCTACCTTCAATGGTGCCTTGCATGATGGTCTTGCACAGGCTGTCGCACTTTGTAATGTATCCAAACTATGCCATTTTTCTTCATTTGACAGTGTCAAGAAAAGGTTCCTAGTAACCCTAAAAACTTTCAACCCTTTTCCACAAAAACTCATTTATGCTCCCAATAGAAGGTAACAAGAAGTTTTCTTATGCATTTGTTCTCAACCACTTGGATCCTTCTCTCTGTTTCTGCCAAGTGTCCATGTATCACATCCATATAGGAGAATGGAGACTACCAGCAATTTATACAATTTGCATTTTATTTGAAAGCTGATTTTGCTCCTCCATATTCTTGCTAATTTGGCCATCACTGCCATGACTGCAGCAATCCGTGTGCAGATTTCTGAGTTGCAGGTATCATTTTTAGACAAGATTGTTCCTAAATATTTAAAATTGGACTCCTCATCCAATGAATTTCTATTCATGGTAATGTTAACACAGGTCTTTCTGTTTGTGCTATTCCCCATTACTTTGTATTTCTTGAAGCTGACCCCCATTCCATTTGCTTCTACTGTTTCAACAAGTTTGTTGGTCAAGTCTTGGAGCCCACTGTTACTACCTGCTATGAGATCAATGCCATCTGCAAAATGTAGGTTACAGATGGGTCTACCACCAATAGAAATTGAAGGATCATGGTCATTAAGAGTTTCTTGCATGATTCTCTCTAGAAAGAGGTTGAACAATATGGGTGAATGTATGCATCCCTGTCTCATGCCAACAATTGTCTAGAAGAATCCTCCCATTTGATTCACAATTTTTGTATATAAGATGAATTGAAAGTGGAATTGACTTGCCAAATTCAAATTCAAAATTTGACCAAATCTGTTTCATTCAGTTAGGGGCTTATGGCCACAGCATGTTGAAACACCAGTTGCTGCATGATCACTGAAGTTAAGCAATGTTAAGCCTGGTCAGTACCAAGATTAGTGACCACTTGGGAATACCAGGTATTGTAAGCATATATTTACAGGTAGTGCAATATAAAGAAATTCAATATGCACTGTTTTGGATTCATTGTTTGTGGTTTTCTTTGGACAGCTATATTTTATTGTTTATGCTTTTCACAATTCAATTATGCAACCTTCAGCCTTCCTCTGTGGTCTGTTGCATCCAAGAATCCTATTTCGGGAATACATGTGAATGTCTTCGCAACAGACACTAAAGAAAGAATACAGAATACAGAGCTGAAACATTATAAAAACTGAAAGCTTTGAATTGTTTACTTTAATGTTTCTTTTGTGTCATTAAAAGATTCCACTAATTCTGAAGGTGTAAAAATAGCTGTCTACTATTGTTTCTTTGTTTCATTAATGCTGTCTAATTTGACTGCAATTAAAGCTTATTAAAATACAGTTTTTAAACAGAAAAACATTTGTTTATTAGGGAAACTGTTTTGGCAGATATTTGTCAAAATATTGAAATCATTTTATTTTCTCTTTTCTAGCTTATCGTAATTTTTTATTAGCTTCAACTTTTATTGTCTGTTAAAATAGTTGATTATTAGTGTACTGAACAAGTTTGTAAATTAATGTCATCATTATCACTGTAGATATGCATTTTCATTATTAAATAGCAAGCTTGTCTTTCTGGAAGAATCATGTTTCAGTAGTGAATTTGATCCTCACTGGGTGCCCACCTAATATATATATATATATATATATATATATATATATATATATATATATATATATTACATCAAAAAAACAAAAATTACCTCAACATAGGTATAGTCTATTTCAAACTGTTCTTCATACGGCTATTGTCAGCCTCTAAGTGCTTGTCTTGGATCGTTGTTCTAAATTTATTTTCAAATTCAGTCTTCCTATAGTCAGTGCCTTGTTAATGAGAGTAAGGTATTTGGAGTTTATTTATGGCCAGGATTTTTGTTTGTAGTTTAATATCAGTTCCTACTATATGGTGTTTCTTCTAATGGCCCCCGAGTGTGTCTTTCTGGGATTCACACTAAATAGTTTTTGTACTACTAAGTGATAGGAGATTTAAATTTAAGTCTGTTAAGATTAATGTTTAAATTTAAGTCTGTTAAAGATTAATGTTATATATATATATATATATATATATATATATATATATATATATATATATATATATATATGTATATTCATACTACTATATAGTGGTTCCTATTCATGGCCATTTGCTTGTACATGTCCTCAAAACTTTTTTTGCTGACCTCAGCTGTGATATTGTTCGATAAGTTACAATTCTTTCTCAGTTTACTAATTTCCACAGTCTTTTTCTTTTTGTCTTCAGAATAAGTACAAGTTCTCAATTATGTGTGCAATCATCCTCCTCAGTTTTTATTTATTTTTCTGGCAAAATACTTAGCATCTTTCTTTCTTTCAGTTTCTTTTTTTTTTCATCCGAGAATAGCTTTATCTACTATCTGATAGAATTTTCTCTTCCTTATTCCTACATCTTGTCTTCTGGCCTTGAGAGGTGATACATTTGAAATTACAAATTACAAAGAATCTTTCACTGTTCTACATTTGTCCATTACAAACTAAGTGCATTTCTACATCCTGAATTATATTCTCATTGTAATTCTTAATTATATTAATCAGTGACTGATATCAAAAGTTTTGAGATGAAAGATTTTTAGTTCTTATATTCCTTTGCGACTTGGATCAGCATGTTTATCTTGATTGTTACATTCACAGTATTTTATATTCTAGTGGGTTAATGCATTAGTTAAAACATAACTGGTTCTCTGGTAGTTGTGACTTCAATCCCTAAAATGTTTAATACCGTGATTCAGTGTTAAAAACAGACAAGTAAAACAAAGACAAGTGATATGAAATATCTCCTAAACATGAAAAGTGAAATGATAATACCTATGGATAAAAAAAAAGGGTTTGGTCCAAAATTGGAAATTTAGTGAGTATAATGACAAACACTGAAGGTGGCAAGAGAATACAATGGATGAAACATTGTGAATATAATCAAGATAAGCAAACTGGCCCAAATAGCAAAATTTATAACTCAAAGATCTAGTGCAGTATGAAATCTGATCAAAATGTATTGGAACTGGCACTATAAAAAGAAAACTACAACACATATCAATTCAACATTTAATCTCTTTCAAAATAGTCTCCTTCTTAAGCCATACATTTTATCCAGTATGGTTTCCATTGTTAGAAACAGCTGCCACATTACATTCTCATGGATTTCGTCAACATCTTCTTTTCAAGTGGGATTGGGGAGGAAAAAGGTGCAAGGTTCAAGATCTGTGGAACATAGTGATTGGTAGACCTAGGGAATATTGTTCTTGGCCAAAAACTGCTGCACAAGCCATGGTCACTGATGGAATTTTCATTGAAGCACTGCTATAAACAATGGCAGTGAGCAAGAATGTTATAACTTAGTGTGTATACATGATAGAGTTCAAGATCAATCTTAGTTACCTTAGGAACAGTTCTGATACGTTTTTTTAATCAGACCTTGTGTTTTTAGTTTTGACTAAACCTCCTTCAGAATCATCTCATCCACGGAGAACAGGTCATTTTATCCTTAGTTCCTTATCTGCATCCTTTGTGTTCTCAAATGATTTTTCTAATTTTCAGACAGTGTTATAGACTTCTGATGTGTTCGCCAAGTAAAATTTTTTTTTATATTTATTCTGATATTTATTCAGTTAAGATTTTCCACATGACTTGTCTGTATCTGGATTTTTGGAGTTTTTTTCCCCACATCTTTTTCCCACCAATGAAGATTGCTCTGCATCCATTACTGAACTTCTTTCTTTACAAAAACTGATGAACAAGTCTGTTATGTTGGCAGTAGTGTGCAGAAGGTGGGGCGGAAAGTGTGATGGCCTCACACATCTATATCAGGAGGGCATCCAATCAAAGTGTGAAATAAAAATTTAGTTTATATTTAATTTGAATGCCCCCATCTACTTGAATCTTAGATATCTACAATGAAGGAGTTGTCCTCAGATATCACCAAACATCACCAAACCTCTGAAAGTCACTTTATGTTGGGTAATGAATTCCTTTGTACCAATATCTGTGGATTCTGTTTGGAACTAGTGCTTCCCAATCAGCAATTTTTTCAAGTGACCTTCATAGAATATATAAATTTAATTCCATAATTTCTCCCTTTTCAATATTTAGAAAATCTTTATAATTTTTGCCAGACAGTCATGTTTCTTTGGTTATCAATAGTAAATCTGGTATTGCTGACAAAGTTAAGCTGGCCGTTGGTCTTGAAAATGACCTCCAATCTGTGGTTGACTGGGACAGGAAATGCCTTGTGAATTTTAATGCATCCAAAATGAAACTGCTGTTATTTACTCATCATAGAGAAACTTCCCTGCTGCCTATCAGCATGGTAGATGCTCAACTCCATGAGAGCACCTCCCTGCCCATTCTTGGTCTCACATTTTCCACTGACCTGAGATGGAACAACTACATTGAACCAATAGCTGCATCTACTGCAAGGAAAGTTGGTTCTCTGTGTCATGTCAGAAGGTTTGTTCTCGTTTGAGTCCAGCCTTCATATCTACAAAACTACCATTTGTCCATGCATGGAATACTGTTGTCATATATTGTCTGGTGTCCCCATTGTTCATCTTGAACACAGATATGCAATGTGTTTGGTCCTGGCTTTGGGTCTTGACTCCAGTCACTTTCTCACTGATGTAATGTGGCTTCTCTCTGTCTTTTCTATATAAATATTTTCATGGCATCTGCTCTGACGAGTTATTTTCACTGGTGTGCCGGCTGCATGAATTTAAGTATGCTACTAAGTTGACATTTCAGTCCCACTCTTTTACTGTGGAAGCAGTTAAAAGTAACTGCCTTATCTACTCCAACAGCACTTCCCAACAGTGGAAATCCTTTCCTCTTACTTCCCTGATAACTATAATCGTCAAAAATTTAAATGTAATGTCAATCAACATCTTCTGATGCCTTGCTCCTTGTTCTTCTTTTTATCCTTCTCCGTTCTTCTTTTTATCATTTCCTCAATCCCAACTATACCCAGTCTTTTTCCTTACTTACACTCTCTGTAATTCCTTGCATACTAGTGGCACTCCTGCCTAGCTTGGAGTGATATGCTTAAAAAAACAAAATCTCCATATTATGTTTCAATGACATTTTGGTTTTAATTCTGCACTATTTTGTTTTATGTTTTGTCTTCTGCTTCCTGTGTCTGGACAATTTTCCTTGTTTTGTTTGTAAATTCCTCTGCCTATACTTGTTAATTCTTGCTTCTTTTGCCAAAAAGTTTTGGTTTGGGTTCATTTCTTCTGCTGAAGTATTGTATTCCCTTACATTTCGGATTTTTTGTGCCCTCCATAATCTGGTGTGTGATCCATTCTTGTTAGTCTTTTAGTAATCCTATGTCTCTTTGTAGTTTGGAGATCAATCAGTTTAATCTGATTTCCCAAGCCATACTGGTAATGCTTTTCTCCTAGCTAACAACCTTACCTCTCACCATTCTTGCACCGGTTTAGAACAGGTCATTCAGCTCTGTTATGTTATTACACTCAGTGTATTATTATTATTATTATTATTCAAACACTTTTATGTTTCCATCCCATAATAATGATTATTATTATTATTATTATTATTATTATTTATTTATTTAAGCCTTTTTTGTTGAATATAGAATTCCAAAGAATATATCACTTGTTCTCTTGGCTTCCTTGTTCAAGAAAATGCATTCAAAAGTTCCTGCTCCTCGAGTCTATGAAAAGCTAGAGAGATTCAATTATATGCCCAGTTATTATTGTTCAGCTCAGTTAATGTAGGGAGAATTTATTCAGCATAGTTCTTATTTGTATCAATGAAATCTGAAATTATGTGTCTCAGGTAATAGCTAAAGTGACTTGGTTAAATGTCTCAAACCAGTTGAAGGTGTAGTGATGTTCTTTCTATTAATCCATTGGGTGGAAAGGTGTTTAGATTTATTCTAAGTTGTTCCATAAAAATAAT